CGCAGGCCACAACTGGCCAAATGTTGGTAGGCTAAAGGCAAATGGGTAGCTCTCTTCCTTTGGGTCCCTTTTTAAGTCCCCAATATAAAACGGCACCCTTAAAAAGAGGATCCTAAAAGGGACCCTATTTTAGAAAACTACCCAAAGGAGTTGCAAGAGGCCAGCATACAAACCAAAACCTCCCAAGGCCCCACCGAATCTGCACTCTGGACAGCATTCAAACGTTGGACATTCAGGTGACTACTAAACTGTAGAAGCCCAAACCCTAAACCCTAAACCTACTAAACTTTAAAAGCCCCAAAAAGTTTAGAGGCTGGGTACTTGGAGGATCATGGGGCTTAGTAAGTATGGTAAATTGGGGTTATAAGTAGTTATAAGTATAGCTACCCTAATAATAACCTCAGTTACTAAGTCCCATGATCCTTTAAGAAAACCTAAACCCTAAACCATAAAAGCCCCAAAAAGTTTAAAGGTTGGGTATTGGAGAACTAGGACTAGGTTTCGCAGTAGGCCGTTAATAATAAGGGTTCCCTGTGTCCTACTATTTGGTTTTAATGCGGGAACCCACAAAGAAAACAAGGCAACAGGGTACTACTGGGGAACCCAAGTATAGTTACCCTAAAGATAACCTTAGTTACTAAGTCCCATGATCCTTGAAGAAAACCCTAAACCCTAAACCCTATAGAACCCCTATAGAGCCCTATAGAACCCTGTAGAACCGCTACAGAATGGAGAACTGAGGAAACCCTAAGCCCCAAACCCTACCTTAGTTACCATGTCCCATGATCCTTTAAGAAAACCGGGAATTAGAGAACTAAGGAAACCACGAGCCCAAACCCCTAAACCCTAAACCCTAAACCCTAAACCTCTAAACGCCCAAACCCCTATACCCTAAACCCCTAAACCGCTAAACCTCTAAACGCCCAAACCCCTGAACCCTAAACCCCTAAACCGCTAAACCCCTAGAGTTTAAAGGTTGGGTATACCCTAAACCCTAAACCCTAAACCCTAAACCCTAAACCCTAAACCCTAAACGAGAACTAAGGAAACCCAGAGTCCTTCTCCGGTAGATCAATCGGAGATTGACGCCAGAGTCGCCCCCAAGATTGCAGGGTCCCCTTCATTGAGATACCTGGGTTAAGGGTTTAGGGTTTAGGGTTGAGGTTTAGGGTTTAGGGTTTAGGGTTTAGGGTTTAAAGTTTAAAGTTTAGAGTTCAGGGTTTCGGGTTAGGGTTTAGGGTTTGGAGTTTAAAGTTTAGGGTTTAAAGTTTAGGGTTTAGGGTTCAAAGTTTAAAGTTTAGGGTTTGAAGTTTAGGGTTTAGGGGAGATACCTCGGACTTGGGCTTAGGGGTTCTAAGGGCTTTTAACATGGTGCTTATTGAGATGCCTAAACCCCCAAAACCTAAACCCTAAACCCTAAACCCTAAACCCTAAACCCCAACCCCTTCACCCTAAACCCTAAACCCCAAACCCTTCACCTGAATGACTCAGAGGTTTGAGGATCTCTGATATTTCTGGGACCTATACACCCTATAAACCCTATAAGCCCCATAAACCCTTCAAGCCCTATAAGCCCTATAAACCCTTTGAACCCTATAAACCCTAAACCCTAAACCCTGTAAGCCCTATAAGCCCTTTAAACCCTATGAACCCTGTAAGCCCTATGAACCCTATGAATCCTGTAAGCCCTATAAACCCTATAAAGCTCTGGAACTTTTGCAAGGGCTTCGAGATTCGGGATTTAGGAGCAGTGGGGCAAAAGGATTCGGGGGTTTAGGGTTCAGGGTGTAGGGTTTAGGGTTTTAGGGTTCAGGGTTTAAGGTTTTAGCGTTTTAGGGTTCAGGGTGTAGGGTTTAGGGTTTTAGGGTTCAGGATTCAGGGTTTAGGGTTCAGGGTGTCGGGTTTAGGGTTTTCGGGTTCAGGGTTTTAGCGTTCCTGTAGTCTCCATTGCTGTTTTCTTTGTGGGTTACCTTAAGAAAAATGGGTAAAGCAGAACAAGGACCTAAAGTGGAGACTACAGAGCTAGTAGTTTTGAAACCTAAACCATAAACCTTGAACCCTGAACCCTAACCACGGTTTAGGGTTTAGGGTTGAACCCTGAACCCTATCTGCGAGATTGCCTTTCATGAGCTCCTTGCTGGTCACAGTCAGGATCTTGCTGATGCGCACGCGAGGATGGCGCTCGGACTCGTCACGTGGACTACCTGAAGCCCACGAAACCCTACATGTAGGGGCCTTGAGAACAATCTATAATATTTTTTGGGGGGTTCCTTATTCCTTATAATAGTTGAGTATGATATACCCCCAGGCCCCAAGCCCTATTCTAATTATTAAGGCCCCTATATTACATGTTCAGGGCTTCTGAGTCTGACGTGCACTTCTGTTCGTCTAAACACGGGTAAGGCGCGGCTGTCATCGTTCATCCCCTTGTTGACATCGGATTTTCCAGCATCAGTGTCTCCGCTGCACTGCATGCCCTCGTTCATCTCAAGGATTTCCACTCTGGGGTTGGCCGCATCAACCGCTTCAATATCCAACTGATCAGGGGCCTCGTGGTCGCAGCTGGGTCCCGCGCCCATGTTCTACAGCGGAGGGTTTTTCACTCAACACTGCAGCCGAGAAGCGGGCATGCCTGTTCGAGCCCAAAGCGACTGGCGAAAATGCAGGTGGATATCAACCCCTTAACCCTGAACCCTAAATACCCTAAACCCTAAACCCTAAACCCAAATTTCCTGAACCCTAAACCGTTCGGATATCATCATCAACCTCCACAGACCTAAAACCCCTGAACCCTCAAACCGGCAGTCGATCCGAAACTCACAGTCCTAGGTTTCTTGGAGGCTGAGTATCCTCGCAAAAAAAGATTAACCTTTTAAGTTATGGTAGGAATGTATAAGCCCCAAAAGGTCTACTCAGCCCTACGTGTAAGCTTTGAAAAGGGACTAGGTGTCGCTCTCAACTAATTATCATTAGAGCTCTTTTTTTAGGAAATTGAACACGATCCCAACTCGATACCTAGAAGAGGAACTAGCAAAAAACACCCTAAACCACTAAACCCTAAATCCAAAATCCCCGGAAAGCACCAGCGCAGAAGCTCCTCAGCTTCGTTGACCCAGTGCTCTTCCTCTACACGACCATTATGGAACTAGGTCCCAAAAGGCCATCCCTCTTCTGGTTTTGGGGACCTAAGTCCATTGTGGTAGTATGCATGTATATATGGGTTTAGGGTTTAGGGTTTAGGGTTTAGGGTTTAGGGTTTAGGGTTTAGGGTTTAGGGTTTAGGGTTTAGGGTTTAGGGTTATGTATATATATATATATATATATGTGGACCCTCTTGGTTAGGGTTTAGGGTTTAGGGTACCTCGCGTGGAGTATCCAAGCAAGCTTACAGCCTTTAGGGAACATAGGACCCGGCAAGAGGGGTATAGACTTTCTGTTTCAGGGACGGAGAACCTGGGGAGCAGGTGCAGAGGAGGGGGGCACAGCTTCCGAATCCCCATAGGGGCTGGGTATCCTCGAATCTGCATAGTACCGGAACCCCCAAACCCTAAACCCTGAACCCCTAAACCCTACACCCTAAACCGTGCCTAAACCCTCAACCCTAAGCCGACGCCGCCTCTCAGACGACCTCGAGACGCTTCGAAGATTCTGCAAGGTACCACTGCCCACCACACGGACGGACTCCAAACTTGGGATGGGTAGTAGGGTTTAGGATCCAGACCTTCCACGGTTTAGGGTTTAGGGTTTAGGGTTTCCAATATCCCTGAATTATAAAGAATGTAGTTTAAGTTGTAGTAGGATCCCTAATAATATGGGGGTTTCAGAAAATAGGGGACCCTAATATAGCACCCTAAATAGTAGGATCCCTCTTATAAGGACCCCAAAATAAGGTACCCCTTACTTTCGGAAACTCCCATATGATTTGAGGTATCTAGTCCTTAATTGAGGGATGTTGGAAGGTCAGGGTTCAGGGCGTGGCACCTGGGGATTATTTGGCTTTGAGCGGGATGGGTTTAGTAGATTTAGGGTTTAGGGTTTAGGGTTTAGGGTTTAGGGTTTAGGGTTGAGGGTGTGGGGAAAGCTTCAGCATGAGCTCACATTTTTCAGGGCGCACAGGGTCTTTGGACATCGCTCGAGAACCCTCCCTCCCCATGGATGTGGTGGGCTCGTGCGCTGCCTCAACCCTGAAGTTCCTGTTCCTTGGCACCCTTTCGGGACTCAAGGATGGTGTTAATATAGGGGCCTTAATAATTAGACTAGGGTTTTGGGGCCCAATATACTGTATTTATAATAAGAAACCCCCAAAATAATAGCATTCAGGCCCCTATATTAGTCCTACATCAGAAACGGGTGTCGGGCCAAGTTAGGTCGCGGATCCAGATCGTTGTGCGGTCGTGCATCACTGCAGGCACCCTCAATCTGGAGAAGCTCCTATTCACGGGTTGCTTTGGGTTCTGGCATCCTTCTTTCAGTAAGAGTTTACCAAACCTCCCTAAACCTTAAACCCTAAACCCTAAACCCTAAACCCTAAACCCCTAAACCCCTAAACCCTAAACCCTAAACCCTTAAAAAGGGACCCTAATTTAGAGAACTACCCATAAATTGAGCAGCATCTGAGGTGGCGACTCTGGGGCTCGAAGCGCTAATCCGTGTTTAGGGTTTAGGGCTTTAGGGCTTTAGGGCTTTAGGGTTTAGGGTTTAGGGTTTAGGGTTTAGGGTTTAGGGTTTAGGGCTTTAGGGCTTTAGGGTTTTAGGGTTGTAGGGTTTTAGGGTTTTAGGGTTTAGGGTTTAGGGTTTAGCGTGCACCCTGAACTGCCCAGAGAACCCAAATAACCCTTAATGAAGGAATATGCCTTAAACATTATAGGGGCCTTAATATTATGATTTAAAGTATATTCCCTAATTAAGGGGTCTTGGGTTCTCTGGGTGAATCCGAAAACAAAACCCTTAGACCGTAAGCCGTAAGCCCCAAACCTTGCGGGCGCGAAAATTGGAACCAACAGCTCCGAATGACCTGGTCGGCCTTACCAGCACCTACAGTCTGCATTGTAGCTCCATTTTTCGGGTACAATCAGTTTTTAGATTTAGGATCCAACAGGGAGGAACCCCCAGAAGGAAGTGCAATGAAGACAGTATTTACATTAGTTTAAACGCAATCATAGAGAGGATGTATAGTTAGTTTAGGGTCTCGAGGTATGTTATAGTGTAGCTTTAACGGGACCCTACAACTTATATAGTGACTACCTACAAAGGGATGCTCTTGAATTGAGTGCCCACTTTAGGAGTTTTCAATTCAAGATCCCGGGTTTCTGGATGCAAACGCAAAAATAAGGGTCTTGATTGGGGTTCGGGGACAAGCTGAATATGAAGTCCAAGGTATCTAGGGACACGGTCTAAGGTTTAGGGTTTTGGCTTTAGGTTGTAAGGATAAAGCCGAACCTTTTAGCGAACCCGCACTCAGCCGCTTCAGAAATCGCTCCTGCGGAGAAAAGCAGACCTACACAATCGCCAAGGGCGTGGGCGACTTGATACCCTAATTCGGAAACCCATAAATATGGTCCCGCGTCGCGGCGTCAGGGCCACCCCCCATGCTGTGCCCACCCCCGCTTCCCACAGCAGCCAAGCCAGGCGACTCATCCTAGCAAACAGTCACTGGGATGGTGCTCGTCCGCGTCATCATCCTCGTAACGGTCGACGTTCTTTTGGAACTCTCGCGCAAAATCGCGCAACCCCCGCCCCCCCTCTCCACACACAGATGAGAATGATGGCGATGATGCTGAGGACAATGATGCTGATGTATTTCTTGCAAGCTGGTATTCCGAGCGTGACCATGGGTAGCACCACTGCTGCTATGCTGATGTGCCCATAGGTACCGCACGTTATTTCCCTTATTTTTTCGAAGCTTGTTTGGCTTGATGTTATTTCGTACATGTTCGTAGTTTGTATCGACCGTTCTCATTCTATGTTCAGTTTCGGTTGGGTGCGTGAAAAGTCAGCCCGAGCATGTGCTTGATTGACTTTCATTCAGGACTCTCAAGCCAGGGACCGGAGGAGCGTGCGACGGGGATACAGTGAAGTCGGAGGGGGTGGGGGAGGGGGGGCCTGGCAGGGCCCGCAGCATATGTCGGGCGAATGATATCCAGCCTCAGTTAAAGGAAACTACAGGTGGGGAGTTTAGGGTATATAGGGCTTCTATAAGGCTTCGTTAAGGTATATAGACCTTCTATAAGGCTCCTATAACGGTAACTACCCACCTGAAAATGGCCTAGATTCAGCCTTAGCTATAGACCCTAAACCCTAAACCCTAAACTATAGATGCCCCAAGCCCTCAGGTGGAAGACCTGCACGTCCCGAAGCCTGCACAGTACTCTGTTCTGTGACCGTTGCGTGCACCTGCCCGGTAAATCACGGGAATACGAATATTACCATGCGGTTTTGGGGTAGTTGTATTCTAACAGAACCCTAAACCCGAAACACTAAAACGAATCAATACTTAAGCCTAACCCATAAACCCCTAAACCCTAGACTCTAAAAATAATCAAACACACAAAAAAGCAACCAAACAACATGTACCACTGGGCCCAACCCTGTAGTCCCTTTTCGGATCCCCGAGGATTCCAAAGTTTTGTGAGCTAACTAAGACCAACTGCAGGTTTAGGGTAGCCTTAAACTACCAAACCCTACTTGTCTGTAGGCTCTTACTATGAATCCCAATATAGAATTTATGGGGACTCCGAATGGAGAGGCTGTAATAAGGGTTTCGGGTTTAGGGCATAGACCATAGGCTCTACCAGCTAAACAGTAAACCCGAATTGCACCATGAACCCCGAGACCTCAGGTTTTGATTGGAAATCAAACCCTACACTTAGGGTCATACCCTACCCCTTAATTTAGGGTACCTACTTTTTCATACAACAGATCCTAACCATAAAACTCGGTACCTTAAAAAGTATGACCCTTTAGGTAAACCCTAAACCCAAAACCCGAAGAATCAAAGCCAAAACCCAAAACCCCAAACCCTAAACCCGAACCATCAAACCCCGAACCCCGAGCTGAGACTTCAGCTTTTTTCTTCTGGGGGTTCGGGCCTAACGGTATAGAGTTTAGGGGTTTAGCGCCTAGGGGTTTAGAGGTTTAGGGTTTAGGGGTTTAGGGTTGGGGGTTTACGTAGGGTCGTCTTATCTTGGGACGGGTTCACGCAGGTGGCCACATAGCTATTTGACTAAGACATGCGCGCGGTCAGCTGTCACCCTTGGGGCCTAGGTACCGAATAAACACATACTCCTCCGAACCACTGTTTAGGGTTTGGGGTTTACGGGGTTTAGGGTTTAAAGGTTTAGGGTTTAGGGGTTTAGGGTCTAGGGTTTAGGGGTTCAGGGTTTAGGGGTTTAGGGGTTTAGGGGTTTAGGGTTTAGGGGTTCAGGGTACAGTTCTACTCTCCAACAGCCGAGTACGTGGGTACCTGGGACCCTCAGGGACCAACAGTTTCGCAGAAACCTTCAGGGTTTCACCGTCGAAAATCTGACCGCATTGGTATAGGGGCCTTAATAAGTACCTATTTTTTTTTGTTTTTTTTTTTTTGTTGGGGGGGGGGTCCTTATGATAATTATAGTTAGTATAATATCTACCCCAAAGCCCTATATTCTAATTATTAAGGCCCCTACCTTAGAGGCTCTTCAGTCAGTTCTGCTGCAAAAGATGCTGAGGTGTGCCAACCATCGAAACGAGATTCGGAACTTCGTCCACTCGGGACAGCCCATCACAATCTCCACAGGGCATACCGACCTGTACGACCCGATGACCCCCTAAACCGAAACACCCTAAACTCCACCTATAGGGTCATACCCTACCCCTTTTTTAGAGTACCTACTTTTTTATGTAGCAGCTCCCAACCGTAAAACTAGGTACCTTAAAAAAGGGGTAGGGTATGACCCTATAGGTAGGGCACAGCAGGAGCCTGCGAGATGGCACGTGTTTGGAGGATAACCTGACTTTTGGCTGGCATCTTGGAAAACGATATGAACACATGTAGCCAACGACAAGTATGCGCTCCCCAAAGTCTGACCGATGGTCTAAGGACTTTAGGAGGGACCCCTAATAGGGACCCTTAATCCCATTACCGTACATAACCATTGTATAGTCCTTATATACCCCTTATATAGCCAGGTAGTCCCCATATTAACACCAATAACCTACAAGGGTCCCTATTAAGGGTCCCTCCTAAAGCCCTTAGAGATGGGATGAAACAACCGCCGTTTTAGGGTTTAGGGTTTAGGGTTTAGGGTTTAGGGTTTAGGGTTTAGGATTGTGTGGGGCTCCTTCCTCATCACGCAACGGCTGTACAGGTCTGCAGGCACTCAGCAGATGGCGCCGGCGTAAGCCTACAAGAGTAGGCGTTGAATCTGGCGTAATGCAGGAACCTGATTATAAGAAACCCGGGCCAAATAACACCCACAATATTCGGATTCATATCAAGAAGCCTAAGAAAGACCCAGCGTTTCTTACTCAGGTTCCTATATTACAAAGGTGCCTTCTCGGAGCTGCGAGACCCAAAGGGTCCAAGTATTACTATGGTAGCTACTTTGTACGGTTTAGGGTTAGGGTTTAGGGTTTAGGGTTGAGGGATATGGTAGCTCCTTTGTAGTATTCGGGCCCCAAAAAGTAAATACGTTTGCTGTAACTTGGACCCTTTGGAAGAAGACTTGACGAGAGAGGCCTTCACAACTAGATAAAACCGGCGCTGCATTCCAGTGTAGTCTGGAGCGACACCTCGCTTTGAGGAATTGCTTCATGTTGCGTCGTTTCTAAAACCCGCAGCGGTCAATGACGGCGAAAGGCAGATTGACAGACCTTCAGCCCACCGCTGGCTAGCCAAGCCAGCATGCCAGCTGCAGCACACCATATGAGTGATGCAGCAACACTCTCTTTGTATGCCCAACGTCCTATGTAGACTCCGCAAAAATTGAACGCCATGTACACCAAGTAGAGCACGACAGACCTCAGTGGTCCAGTGATCTCACCAACCTAGACCCCCTAACTACCCTTTATTCTACACCAAATACCCATTATTCAGGACCATCAGTGCTCCATTAAAGGGGCGCTTGGGGGGTCCTGAAAATGTGTACATTTCTACGCTTTCGGTGCAGGAGTGCAAGACTGACAGAACCTGACCTTCGGCGCGGCCTGCCGGGGGTGTCCATCCAACAACACTTTAACAAGAGGGTCCACAGATATTACAAGTATGAAGTAGGTCCCCCAAAACCATAATGAGTATGGTCTTTTGGGGCCTCATTCCATAACGGTAGTGCATATGGAAACCCTAAACCCTAAACCCTAAACCATAATGAGTACGAATATGGAAACCCTAAACCCTAAACCCTAAACCATAATGAGTACGATCTTTTGGGGCCTAATTCCATAACGGTAGTGCATATGGAAACCCTAAACCCTAAACCCCTAAACCCTAAACCCTAAACCATATGGGGCCTAATTCCATAACGGTAGTGCATATGGACCTTCTGCGGTAAGCGAGACTTCAGAAACTCCAAATCCCCGGACCTCGAGCACAGACCAAGACACCGAAACCTTGGGTCGACTGTTTCGGGTGTAGGGCTTAGGGTTTAGGGTGGGTTTAGGGTTTAGGGTTTAGGGTTGTTGGTTTAGGTTTAGGGTTTTGGTAATGTAGAGGCCGAAACAGTTAGAATAGGAGTTTGGGGGTTCCTTGAAAGCATTCCTTAAAGGGTACTATCA